GTGATTATTGGAAAGTTCATCTATAGTGACTGCATTCAGTCAAAGTGAATTAGATCAAGCAAAATAAATTGTCCTAAGTGTGTTGATAGTGTGACCGAATGCTTTTATTCTTTAAATAAAAGCCCCTTTTTTTTAAAGAACGCGGCCAAAAGGGCTTAAAGCAGCAACAAAGATAAAAGTTCCCACACTGAGATGAGAGATGAGAAGAAATGGAAAATTGAAGTAACAATATTTGAATTTTTAAGACAGAACAATCTAGGTTTTTCTATGTCTGCAGCAGACTTGATTTATGTCTGTGGTCATCTTGGTGGTGGTAAAGTGGTCATAGCCTCGCTGACCTCTCGGTGACCCTCACAGCAGGGCACCCATGTCCGACACCACGAACATGCTCCAACACAACACACACCACGGAGGCAACTGTCACACCATCGCACAAGCCACTAAGACAGGCCAAAAAGACATGAGCACAACATGTCACATGTCATTGATAAACAAAAACAACATCAGACAGACAGACATTTAAAATCTGTGTTGTGACATTGACCATGGTTTTGATTCTTGACACAACACACTATCGAAACAGGCATAAAATTGGTGCAACGTGGCAGAGGTATGTTTTTTTAATTTTATGTGTGTTGCTAAGGGACACAAAGGCATATAGTGGGATTTGAACCAATGCATTTTAGCTGACAGTCTACCTCTATAAGCAATAAGCTGTGGTGACATTTGCCAGCAGTGAGTGAAGTGTTAACAAAGTTCTTTACCTGCAACTGTCCAGCTTTATTATAGGGGTAGGGCACATACAGAAAGCTGGATTTGAATCCAAATTTTTCCATTAAAAAAAAACAACAATAAATTCTTATAGCAAACAGAATGTAGATCAGTTTAAAATTATTTCATTAAATCCTGCCTTCAAGCATTTACACCTCACAACTCAGGTCAACACTGACAACTACAACTGAAAATGACGTAAATAAGTAAATGTTTCCATTGCGTTTTCTAACTGAAACACTGCAGAGAAACAGCCACACGGGAGGATTAAGAACAAACCGGTGTTTGTGAGGAGAAGACACCCACAGATAATGTTCTGATTGGCTGCTCACCCTTCTCCCATCTCTCCCCATCATAAGATAGGAGAGAAGAGAAAGGGCACTAACAAAATGCACATTTTACATTGAAAACTGTTATTGTTCCCTTCCTAATCTGGCCCACCATCTGAGTGAGGACCATGCTAAAGAGCCACGGGCTTTAACTGAAGGATGAGAGCCAACTCAGGGATAGGGGAGGAAAGTGAGAGAGAGAGTGAGAGATAGATGGAGAAAGAGGAGGAGGCAGGGGGTTGGTCTTTGGCTTTTAGGAGGGGATCAGTTGGGAAGTGTAGAATGGATGTTTCTTTTTCTCTATGGGGGAACTTTGTATTTGACTGTTGTTTGTATCTGTCTTTCAGGGGCCTGATCCCCGTGAGCCTGGACAGAGAGATGCTTCGACGTGTTTGCATGTGTGTGTGTGAGTGAGGAAACTGATGGTGGGATCTATCTCTCTTCTTTCCTACAGCTGCAGCTCAGCGGATTAGCCGTCATCCACAAGGCAACATTACACAAGTAGCCTTTGAACAAAAGTCATGGATACTATTAATGATATGGTAATCCGTAATGGAGCTACCTCCCAGTAGTGATTATACTGACATGGGAAGAATGTCCAAGAGTCCTGGACGCAACTACCCAAACAACACTGTGGCTATTGTTGCCAGGCCTGCACCTACATCCACTGGCATCAGCCAACTAACAATCCCTTCCTGCTATAAGCACACACACCAACACACACACACACACACATCAACACAAATTGGTCCCTGCTTTTTTGACACCCTTCCCTCCACCCCAGTCGCCCTATGAATAAAAATGAAACCCAAAAAAATGGATGAAGAGAAAGAGAAGGAGGGACGGGGAGGGAGCAGAGGGGAGGAAAACAAAATATCTTGGCCAGGATCAGCCAGGGATTTCTCTCTATATGGTTCCCACACACTGGTTCTCTTCTGTCTCTTCTGTCCCTCTACCCACTAAGACCACACAAACACTAAACGATTTCTTGATTTAATCTTGGATGGTAAGGATGAGGATGAGAGTCAGTTTTTCTCCTTGCTAATCCAGGGGTGGTAAAAACTACTAGAGGGTGTGGCGGTTGAGGCGGGGTGGAGGAGGTCGGGAAGAGGGGCCACTGTTTGTCTGGTAAATGTTAAACCATAAAAATACTACTATGGCTACAAATAGCTACAAATTCTGTGTTTAATCCCAGTAAATATATATTGTCCAGGTGCGTTCAGT